GCCATTGTTAAGAATCTGAGGTTCTGTTCTAGCTATTTTCTGCCATTCTTTCAGGATCCATATAATGGTTGCCCAATTTCTTTGTGAGGGGTTACGGTGTGCTGGGGTGCCAACTCCGAGCCACCAGCTGCTCCAAGGGAGAAAGATTCCTTTCTCTCCAAACAGAAAAACTGCTTCTACTGGACGCCGGGATGTTTGGCAGTAAGGCTGGAAATCCCATTTAAGGTCAAATGGCCCAGTGTGATTCTAAAATTGGTTTTCAACTTCCACTAAGTGACAAACACTTAGTGATATCATTTTTGTTTCTGTTTGACAAGAGTGGACATGTTTTTTCATGGCAGCAAAATCTAAGACGTTAAAGTCATCTAGTCCCAGGGGTGTTCCAGGAAAGATTCAGGGATATTGCATTGTAGCCACATACTATTGCCCTGGCTCAGAGCCGTGCTATTTCCTTCCCCAACCCCTTATTTGAGAACTTCGGTTATGGATGAAGCATGACATAAAACAAGTTTACATAACAGAGCCCACCCCACATAATCATAGATTACCGCTGGTGATAAAAGAGAAATAAGCACTTCACGTATGATGACTATCCAGAAAGAATTTAAATTACCAACCCCAACTGAAACCTCTTGGCTTTTATTAGTCTGTAGCGCTGATGATATCCAAATGGGATATGTAAATTACTATGCTGAGAGCCAGCGCTTGACTCTTAACCAAATCCTCCTGCCATTTCATCTGAGATATGATCGTTTTTAGTAATTGATGTGTGATTATCCTCATAGAAGTACACATTATAAACGTGTGTACCAGAGAAGCAGCCCCGCGTTTTGAAAATTGTGTTCTACGTGCTATTAAGTTGCAGTAAAAAAAAAATCATTTTCACTTATTAAATAATCAACTTTTAAAAATGACGGACTTGAAAAGCTCGATGCCTGGTGGTGATTTCTCTGCAGGCAGAGCCCGCTCCCCTTGAAGGCCTGATGGGTGGGAGCTTCGCTGTGGGGTCGCTGGACTGTGCCACATGCTCCCCTGCTGTATGGATGCAGCCACCCTCTGAGAAAGCATCACTGCTCCCTTTTCACTGGCGAGGGACCCGAAGCTCAGAGCTGCCAAATACCTGCCCAATTTAATAAGGGGAGTACATTTTAGAGACAGCATTGTTTTTCTTTTCTTTTTTAAACTTCAATGCTCATGAACTTTCCACTGAAAAGCACCCATGAATTCATCATCTGATAAGGGAGGCCTGGTGTAATATCACAAGTGTACTGTCAGTGACGGCTCCAGTTACTATAGGAGAGGAGAGGGTCTGAAGTAAACAATTTCATAAGCCAGAACACCTTAGAGACAAAATACAGGCAACGGACCAAGAGAGAAGTATTGGACGGAGCGAGTAAGTTTCAAAAACAATCATGATCATGCTTGGTCGCCTAGATACTGAAATCTGAAACTCCATGATATGCTACAGCATAGGTTCAAACAAAGATACTCTGTTCCTTACATGTTTTCGTGGGGATGGTGTAACAATGGGGTGCATATCAGTCAACAAGGCTACGGAGAGCTGACCAATGACTCATGCTCACTGTGAAACTTCCCTCCTCAGTTTCAAAATACTCATTTGTAATTGCATTAGCAAAATAGCTGAAGGCCTGTCGCATTCTTCCACTACCGCAGTCTGGCTGTAAACAAATAAGATTTTAAATTTAAATCCCACAGTTTACTCTTTATGTAAATTCTTTATGTGCGTTATAATAAAATAATCACTTAAAATATGTTGTAGATAGGTGACATTCATCTTCTTAAAATGCTTTTGGATTATATGATAAAAATTTCCCAAGGTTATGAATCAGATTTTGGAGGAAACTAAAATCTAATAGAGAAAAAATAATTTTTCTTCTCTCTCTCTTCACCTCTCCCAAGACAGGAAACTGTCCTGAGAGTTTTCGTTGGTGTAGGTTGTATTTGGTGCTTATGTTCGTCTGGGTAGACTAGAGAAACAAATCCAGAGACACTCATCTGTGCATAAGAAAGAGCTTTGTATAAAAAGTAATTGTATATTAAAAATATATCCCAGCCCAGTCCAGAACAAGTCTGATATTAGCCCATATATCCTATGCCAACTTATCAATTCCACTTCAGACTCACACAACACATGCAATGATGCCAAATGCAGGAAGATCACAGGCCCATGGGGGAAAAGTCTTGTGGATCCAGTGGCAGTGGAAGCATCTCAGCGCTGGCGGGGGTCTCCATGTGGTTCCTCCAGTTCCAGGGATCTGGCACCATCAGTGAGCTCCATGTGGTTTGTCAACAGGAATGTTTCACAGGGAGAGAAGCAGAGAGAGAGAGTGGGTCTGGGTCTGGCGCCCAGTGAGCTCTTTATCTTCATTGCACTTGCAAATGAGGTTATCAAGCTATGACCTGAATTGAGAGGCCAACCTCCACCCCTTCACTCTTCATAGTACAACTTGATACCAGATTCTGTAACTACCACAGTGGTCTTTAACCTTGTCTACAAATCTAGTGACAATCCTGCAGAGGTTATTTTTTTTCCTATTTAGAGATTCCAATATACAAATTAGCCTCTATAAATCATAATTATTATGAGAGGAAAACAAATTATTTTCCTGGAGACACTATGGGAACAGAGATTGTTTACATAATACTAAGACCAAGCAAACACAAACGAAACACCTCCTTCTCACTTATCAAGTATTTCATTATCTCACATTTCTCTTTTATGACAATAGTTATAAAAAAAAGACAGAACATCTGTCTGTCAGTCATGCACTACAAGGTGCAAGACTAGAGTAAGCTGGCAGTGGTGGACAAGGTTGGTTAACTTGACGAGGCCACGATTCTCAGTGGTTTGGCAGCTCTGCAATGAGGAAACTTGACAGTTATGTAATGAAGTAGTCCTCCACTGTGGGCAATGTGCTAGCATAGTGGATTCAAGGCCAGCAGAACCCAACAGGAAGCTCGGGCAAAAGAGGAAACTTTCTGTCCCTGCAAAGATTGACCACCTTAGAAACGCACCGTAGAAACGCACCGGGACCATTCCACTCTGCCCTATAGGATCAGGAGTCAGCATGGATTCAGTGGCAAGAGAGAGGTCATCATCCACTTTGTGATGGTCCTGCATTGTTTGTGTGATGCTGATTTCTAATCAGTACATGGCCTTTGGAACCTAAGCTGATCAAGAAGTGAGGCGGGTGTGTATTGTGTTTCCAATCAAATTGTCAAGGAATGATACTCCATTTCAAACAAAGAATGAGGAGTGGTTGCAACATTAATTAGTCATTTCTCTAGAAATGAAATTAGAGAAAATGAATTCCACATTCCAAGGAATAGCTCAACCCATGAGCGCATTATTTCTGACTTTCATCTAATCAGAAATGTCGTTGTTAGCTGTTGTCCAGTTGAGTCCCCTTATGTTCTGGAGTAAAACTGTGTCACCGGGTTGTCTTGGGCATCATCTTCAGGGAAGCAGAACTACAGGGAGTGGGTTGAAATTGCTAGCCTTTGAGATATTAGCAGCCTAAGGCAAAGTACTTGAACGACACAGGCTCCTAAATGGGAATGTTTCAATGTTTCATCTCGACAGAGAATCTGCCCCTCCAGGACCACTGATGTATGTGACAAAGGGGCAGGTGTCAGTTCAGCAGGTCCTCCTTTTATTGTAGCATTGCTGTGAGAGAGCGCCTTGGTCTCATTATGAAATGAGTTGATTTTCATCCTCCCTGAGGATAACCTTTAGCACAGAAAGGCAGTTAAGCACTGAGCCTAGGTGTTACTATACCAAACAGAGTGGAAACCCAAGCCTCTTGCCTGTTATCTAGTGCCGCTGTTATAGGAATAACCACAAGTGCCTTCAAGAACAAAAAATTATTTTCTCCATTTCCAAAAATCAAGCAAAGAAACTCACTCATCATTCGATTCCAACCTACAGTGAACCTGTGGGGCGGGCTCCAACGGTCCCAGTGGGTTTCTGAGACTGTGACTCTTTATAGGAGTAGAAAGCCTGTCTTTCTCCCTTGGAGCAGCTAGGGTTTCCCAGTGCTGGCCCTTCGGTTAGCAGTCCAGTAAGTCCCTAGCGCTGCCCCAGGGCTCCACTCTCCCCTTAAGAGCGCTCGAAGTCAGAATTCAAGGTGTCCGTTCTAGTGAGGAAGACATTCTGTCTCTGCTGCTTGTGGAATGCCGTTCTCTCTTCACAGCTTGTGCCCTTTAGTTCCTGGGCGATCATCGTGAGGCAAGTAGCTTCCCTTCCTTAGGGCTCTTCCCGGTGCCAAATCGACTCTTCTGTCTCAAAGGTGATGGGTTTGAAACACACCTTACTACAAAGCCCTTGTCTCAAACGGCACTGCATTCACAGGTATAAAGGGTTAGGATTAACAACACATGGGGGGGGCGGCACAATTAAATTCATAATGGCCCCCAAGTGCGTGGGTCCCCAAGGAAAGCCGAGCTCAAGAGTCTTCTCAAAGGAATCCCCAAAAGAAAGCCTCCCTGCGACCGAGTCAGTTCAGTTCCGTCTCATCATGACTTTAAAGGGCATAGAACGACGGCTATGGGTGCCCCAGACTAACTTCTCATGGGAATTGAAAAAGTCTCCTCTTTCTCTTAGGGAGGGCTGGTGGTTTCAAACTGCTGACCAGCCCACTAAGGCCACCAGAGCTGAGCCTTAGGCGAGGAGAACACAAGGGCGGTTTGCAAACGCTGCCGGGTTACTGATAGGTACAACTTCCTGGAGGGGCGCTGCAGTCTAGGGGGAGGGTCTGCCCAAGGGAAGGTGCATCCAGGGGAAGCTCAAGGTTGTGCCGAACTCCTCCTTCTGGCCAAGCCGCTGCAGCCGAGCGCGCGCCGGGGTCCAGCTCCCCGCCGGCTGCAACCTCCTTCTATGGATTCCCGCGCTTCGCTGGAATCGCCATGGTAACGGACGCTGGGTTCGGGACGCTTACTCCTAGCAGCGAGCCGCTGCGCAGCAGGAGGCTCACGGCCCGATGGGGAGCTCCACGGCCGAGGTGAACAAGCAGGACTTTGCGCCCGAGACCGAAGAGTGCCGCAAGATCATCGACAGTCTCCAGGCCACCATTGAACTTCTCCACTATAACCCCAGGTGACGCGCCCGCCCGCGGCGAGCCAGAGAGCGAGCGAGCGCCGCCGGAGGCTCCGCCCAGCGCTTCCCGGCCCCGCCTCCTCCCCGCCGGGTGCCGCCCACCGCCCCGCCCCCGGGGCTGGCCTCGCCCCCGGAGCCCGGAGCCCGGAGCCCGAGACGCGACGTTAATTTCCCGGGTGCACCTGCCACGCAGGCTGCGGGCTTTGAATCGGCGTCGCTTTACCAGGCGGGCCACTTACTTTACCTTCTCGGAGCTTCGTCTCCCTCGCTGGGAAAATAGCGATGAGGATCCCTAAGACACCGCGTTCCTTGTGGAAAAACAAGACCAAAGGAAAGGGTGGTTGTGAGCATTACGTAAATGAATCAATCCTCCTTGCGATGTGGTTGGAAGAGGGCTGTTTTAGTGGCGAACGCGTTGGGCTACTAACCACAAGGTCAGCGGTTCGAAAACACCAGCCAGTGGCTCCCCGGGAGAAAGATGAGGTTTTGTACTCCAGTAAAGAGTTACAGTGTCGGAAACCCACAGAGGGGCAATTCTACCAGGTCCTGTAGGGTCGTCATAAGTCGAAATCGACTCGCAGGCGGTTGGTTGGTTGGTTGGTTGGTTGGTTAGTTAGTTAGTTAGTTTTGAATGCTGCTTATAGAGCTCTGGTGGTAATAGTGAGTTAGACGTTGGCCTACAGGAATTCGTAGCCATCCAAGATGAGGCTTTCTACTCCCCAGAGATTTCCATTCTGGAAACCCACAAAGAACAGTTCTATGCTATGGTTTCGCATCACTCTCAATCGGAATTGACTCCACGGGATGAGTCTCTCTCTGGGTTTTCGGTTTGAGAAAATCTCGCTGCCATCGACTTTGAAGGATTTCTTCTTCCTACAGTAACTTCTAACTTCTTCTTCTTCTTCCTACTGTAACTCTTTACAGTCTGGGAAAGCCACCAGGGCAATTCTACCCTAAAATTTCTCACTGCCATCAACTTCAAGGATTTCTTCTTCCTACAGAGTTACAGTCTGGGAAAGCCACCAGGGGAATCCTACCCTGTTCCCTAAGGTGACTAGGATTGGGAATTGATTCCATGGGGAAGACTTGGATGGCAGAAATCCCAAAGATGGACAAGCCTCTTGCTCTGCAGGGAGTTTCTTCTCTCATCAGTTTCTACTTCCCGGTTTCTTGGCTGTCTCTCTATGTCTTGGCATCTCTTCTATTCCATCTCATTCTGTGCTCGTCTGTTTAATCTTTTTTACCTTAAAAAGAGAATAACTCAAAATATACCCATCCTAACCTTGACTCATTAACATGAAAAATACAATCCATTCCCAAGTAGCATTAGTACGCCAAGCATAAAGGTTAGGGTTTACAGCACATGTTTCGGTGGGGGCACAGTTCAATCCATAGCAAGTGCCGGGCTTATGTGGTACATATATGACAACATAGCACCTTATCAGTGTTTGCCAGTAGAATTGTGTGTTATTTCTTGATTTTTAAATAGTTTTCCCTTATGTAATCTCTACCTGTCCCCTGCTTCATATTTTTATTTCGATAATGCAGAGCAGAAGGCCTCTTTAAAGTGTTGAAAAGCAAGGGTGTTGCTTTGAGGCCTAAGTTGTGCCTGAACCAACTCATTGTATGTTTAATAATTTCATGTGCATGTGAAAGTTGGGCCTTGAAGAAAGACTGAGGGAGAATCGATGACTGGAATTAGAGTGCTGATGGAGGCTGTCCAAAGAATAAACACGTCTGTCTTGAGAGATGCACAACCAGAATGTTCCTTAAAGGCAAGGGTGGCAGTGCTTTGTCTCGTGGACTTTGGTCACGTTGTTAAGAGAGACCAGTCGCTGGAGAAGAGCATCAGGCTTGGTGAAGCGGAGGGGCAGCAAAAACCCCAGAGGGAGGAAGACGCTTGAGCACATGGGTTGCCAAGGGGCTGCAGCAATGGGCTGAATCAAAAGGACCACGATGAGGCTGGCCCAGGACTGGGCAGGGGTCCAGGCTGTTGTACAGAGGGTCGCTGTAAGTCAGGACCAAGTCAACAGCATCGAAGAACTACCCCGCTGATGTCTTCAAGAGAAGGTGTTTTAAAATTAAAACCTTAGAAAAGGAAGACGTGCCTCGACCCCAGGTTGGTGGCCAGGAGAGCACTTGCAACATCTCGAACAAGGGTCTGAGGTCATTTCTGGTTCAGTTCTTTTGGGCCACCCACTTGGGGTATCTAAGTCACAGCAGCATGAGGCAACTAGGTCAGTGGCGATGATCATTTCCTCGTGTAAGATGAGCACGGTGGTATCCATGGTTTGAGATGGTGAGATGCTAGGACCACTTGGTAAGACTCATCGTGTTCAGTGATGAATGAACATGGCGTGAGAAAGACTCCAAGGGTTTTTGACCTGTTTAATTCGGAAAAAAGGGGAGTTGGGGAAGACGGTGAGCAGGATGGGTTTCAAGACAACAGCATCGCCTTAGGTTTGGATACATGTTGGCAGTGCCTATTAGACATCAGTTTAGGCTGGTATGTAGGCCGCAGGTTATATGTCTGAAGTTCAGAAGAGAGGTCCAGTCTGGCTAGATCAACGTGGAAGTGGCAAAGAGGTGATGCTGAAAGCAGTGTGACTTGGTGGGACCATCGAGACAGGGAGCACCCATAGAGAGGAGGTGTGTGAGCCCTGGGGCACAGCCCACCCAATTTGCTTGTTCTTTGAAGAGGGAGGAAGAGGAGCTATGGGTTTGGCGTGGGTTTTTTCTCTCTTTATTTAAAATTGAACCATGCATCATAGTACACATTTAGCACAACAGATGATATTTTCATTGACTAATTTATCTGTGAGCATTTGTTCGTATCGTCTATTCTAGGATTCCGTGAGGAGTGTCGTTACAGTCTACGAATAAACATATCCATGGACCCGTTTCCTAAAATAAATGAGCCTATTAGCTTTCTGTTGCGTTTCTTTTAAAAGCTCAGTTGTTATCATTTCAAGATTGTATTTTATGTCTAACAACCAATGTGTGTTTCCGAAATAGAATTGGCGAGACTGTCAATAAGGCCTGTGTAGGAACGAGCCACTTAGCTAGTGTGCGGTGATATGGGTTCCCAGTCTAGGCAGTGGGTTGTCATCTGAAATTAGCGACATTTGGAGTTTGAAGACTGAATCATCATGTTTCCCTTGAATTCTGAATGAGCCCGATCTTTTTAAATTGGTCATGCAGAAAGGTAAGAATGGAAGGCACCTATCTGACTCAGACAGCAGCAATGCAGACTGGAGGGGCCTTGGGGTCACTGACATGTCTTTACAAGAGAGGGACTAGGAGTCCCACCCCTCCCAGAGACCAGCTACTAAATGCTCCTGGAGCCCTGGCTTCTATATCTTCAAAGCAAGAAAGTTAACATGCTTCTCATGAGGTTGTTGGAAGAACAACTTGAGGGAGAAATGTTTGTTAATACATACTTATGACAAAGTATATGGCACAGATTAAGCACTTAATAAATAGGACATATTGCTTTCAGATACCCTTAAGGCAGTGTTTATAATATTATTGGCCCTAGTTTTACATTATCATATAGCACATGTTCCTTGGAAGAAACACGAGGCTCCCATAAAGATGTATAGCCTCAGAAACCCTGGATGAGGTTGCTCGGAAGCAGAGTCCCTTCAATGGCAGTGGGTTTGGACGTAGTCCCTTCATGGCTCCAGAAAGAATACATGAAAATATTATTCCAAGTCTCTCAATAAGATCTTAAATTTTATCTATTTATAACTAACACTATCTAACTCCACAGAAGGTAGTTTACTTAAAATGGGAAGAAAAGAAAGAAAAAAAAATATATATATATATACTCAACCTTAATGAAAAATGAAGTTGAAGAGTGAAAAGGAATGCTCTTGTATTGGGGAGGGTTGGGGGTGGCTTGTCTAGGCTGGATAAGTAGCACTCCTGATCGCTTTCAAGTGTATATTGAGTTTTCAATGACTGGGTATTTTTTTTTAGAAGCACATCTATCTCCAGGCTGTCCTTCCCAAGTTCCACTGGGTGGACACATTTCACCAGGGTTTTCAATTCACAGTAAATCTTGTTAACTGTCTGTACCACCTAAGGATTTCCATCAGCAGAAGCAGAATAACAGATTTGGAAAGCACCTATGACGCAGGAGTGAGGGAGAGAAAACAAGGAGCAAAGGATGGATTGAAAAAGAGCCCCCTACTTACCACACTCCAATGGCTTAGTAAAAACCTGCATAGGTGTCTCAGAAATTTACAATCTGCTGGAGGCAAACACATTTGCCAGTGGATACAGGCCAGGGTCTGCAGAAGTGGCTCTGCAGAGAGCAACCTGATGATCAGAGGAGGGATTCGAGAACGTCAAACACGAACAAAGCAAAAGGAAATTTAGGAGACAGGAAAGAAAGATGTGTTGGTCTGGGTGGACTAGAGAAACAGAGTCATAGGCATTCACGTGTGTATAAGGAAGAGTTTTATATAAAAGAGTAGTTGTATATTAAGAAAACATCCCAGCCCAGTCCAGATCAAGTCCATAAGTCCAATATTAGCCCATATGTCCAATATGAGTCCATAAATTCCTCTTTAGACTCAGGCAGCCATGCAATAATGCTGAATGCAGGAAGATCACAGGCTAGTGGGTGGAACATCTTGTGGATCCAGTGGCGGTAGAAGCATCTCAGTGCTGGTGTGGGTCTCCATGTGACTCCTACAGCTCCAGGGCTCTGGTTCCATCAGTGTGTCTCCAGTCGGCTTGTCAACAGGAATGTCTTGCAGGGAGTGAGTGCATCTGGCTTCCAGTGAGCTGTGTATCTCCTTCGAGTCTCCCAATGAGGTCATCAAGCTGCGCATCTGATTGACAGGCTAAATTCCACCCCCTCACTCATAATAGTCTCATGTTGACACCAGATTATGTAACTACCACAAAAGAAAAGACCAGGAGGATCTGTCAGAAGAGATTCTGTAACTTGCTCTTAATCATAGAGTAGCTAAGGCACATGAAAGAAAGGA